GGTTTAGGGTCTTAGGGTTTTAAGGTTTAGGGTTTAGGGTTTAGGGGTTTAGGGGTTTAGGGTTTAGGGTTTAAGGTTTAGGGTTTAAGGGTTTAGGGTTTTAGGGTTTAGGGTTTAGGGTTTAGGGTGTTTACGAGTGTACTACAGGGGCCTCAATGATTGCTAGTAGTATTCCTTGCAGTTCCTCCATATCATTTTGAGAATAGAAAAAAGGACCCCAAACCCTATGCTCATCAATCAGGCACGACCAACACTAACCAAGGTACCTCCAAAAGTAGGCAAATGTGCCCAATGTTTTAGGTCCAAGCTTGTTTAAGAATGTGCATTTGGTTGTTCTAGGTGGGTGAGGGTTTCGGAACCCAGAGCGCTGCTGATTTGAGTCTGCCCCCCCCCTTGTCAGCGATTCACAGATGCCTTGGTTGCCACTGAGCCGAGCACAACCCCCACCCCTGAACATAAAATACCTTAAGATCCTAAACCACCAAAAGAACCCTAGACCCCTACCCCGAAAGCCTCAACCCTAAGCCCTAAACCCTAAACCCTAAACCCTAAACCCTAACCGAGGTTTCTGGTCTTGGCCCTCCTAGCGACCTGCGTAGCTGCAGTCCGGGCCAAGAGCATCGACGCCGCGCTTCCCAGCTTGGAAGAGGCCCGACACGAAGACCAGGAAGTAGGGTTTTGCGGTTTAGGGTTCAGGGTTTAGGGGTTCAGGATTTAGGGTTTAGGGTTTTGGGGTTTAGAGTTCAGGGCTTAGGGGTTCAGGGTTTAGAGACTTTGGGTTTAGGGTTTAGGGGTTCAGGGTTTAGGGTTTAGGGTTTAGGGTTTAGGGATTTAGGGTTTAGGGTTTAGGGATTCAGGATGGTAGGGGTTTAGTTAATGTAGGGGCCTTAATAGTTACCAGGACTATTTTGGGGGGTTCCTTATTATAAGTTTAGTATGATGGGCCCAAAACCCTATGCTGATTATTAAGGCCCCTACAGTACTTAGGAATACAGGCAGAAGAAGGGGAGGATTCATGGTAGTACGAAAGATGGTCGAAACTCTGACTATCGTCACAGCCATCGTCATGCCAGTCACGTTGTTGTCGTTGCTGCTGCTATTCCTACCACTCCTGCGACGGCAAACGGAGGACAGCGAGGACGACGCCGACTTCGAGTACCAGTGTTATTGTTACACCACCACCACGAACACCATTTAGAACTGCGGTTCAACCCCGCCGAGTAGACAGCGGACTGCTTTCGCTCAACACAGAACACATAACAAACATGTCGGCTCAACCCCTGATCCCGTTTCAACCCTTATTGAACCCCTGAACTCTTGGAACTCCCTGAATGAAGCGCTTATGAAGCCTTGCTAAAATTACATTATAAGCCCTTGTATAAACCCCTTATGAAGACTTGAAAAATCCCCATAAAACCTTTAAGCCCTTCTGAACCCGTTTTAGAGGCCCTCATCAAGCCGTCATCTGAACTTTTTAGTCACCCTAATATAGAAGCCTAAGTAATTACCTATGCTATGATGGGGGTTCCTTATTACATAGTATAGTATATTGGGCCCCAAAACCTTATTCTAATGATTAAGGCCCAGAAATTATAACCTTAAGCTAACATCCGCAGGAACCCGTTCAGAAAGCCCTCTCGCGGTTCCAGGCTAAACCCTAAACCCTAAACCCTCAACTCGTTCACAAAAGCCCTCTCGCTGTTCCAGGCTAAACCCTCAACCCTAAACCCGTTCACAAATGGGAGCTAGGATTAGGGGGACCCTTGGGGATATAGACCGTCTCAATAAGGTCCCTTTTAAGAGAGCCAAAAGCAGGGTTCAGAAGGGGTACCGTTTAAGGGTACCCCTAATCATATTACCTAACAAAGCCCTCTCGCTGTTCCAGGCCGCGGACTGCTTTCGGGAGCTGCCGTGCATGGGCCTCGAGCCTTGGATCTCCGGTGCAGTGAAGGCCAGGCTTTCCTGGAAAAGTCCGAATCTCTGGGGTTTAGGGGTTTAGGGGTTTAGGGTTTAGGGTTTAGGGATTTAGGGGTTTTAGGGTCTAGGGTTTTAGGGTTTAGGGGTTTAGGGGTTTAGGGTTTAGGGGGCTTGGGTGGCTTTTAGGAATGCTCGCAGAGGGATTTATAGGAGTTTGTAGGGCTTCTTCAACTGGAAGACTCCTGAGTGTTTGTGGGTGTGTTGTTTCTCGGGAGTTTAGGGTTCCTAGCGGTTTAGGGTTTAGGGTTTTAGGGTTTAGGGTTTAGGGTTTAGGGTTTAGGGTTTAGGGTTTAGGGTAGGGATTTGTGAACTGAGGGTTGCAGGGCTTGGTTTAAACCGATTTTTGTTAGGATAATGTAGGGGCCTAAATAATTACCAATACTATTTTGGGGGTTCCTTTTTGTAATTAGTATATAATGGGCCCCAAAAACCTAATCTATCTAATTACTGAGGCCCCTATATAAGTGGTTTCGAGGTTGTTTCAATTAGACTTCAGTGTTTTTCAGAGGGGTTGTAAGGCTCGTAAGAGCGTGTAGAGATTATCGGGTTTCAGGTTTAGGATATACGGTCACGGGCCTTGCAGTAAAGAACGGGTCCTTCCACCTTAGGGAACCATGTCCTTTTCGTTGGGTTTGTTGTTATCCTAAACCCTAAACCCCAAACCCTAAACCCTAAACCCCTAAACCCTAAACCCTGAACCACACGGAGCGCCCATCTAGGAAGAGCGCCGCTGAGGTCGCATTGCTCATTCCCGGCTTCTTCGGCTTCCTCATGCTGAGCCTGGGATCGCGTTGAGACGAAGGACGGCTAAGTTGGTGCACGGTTGCCGATGAGAAGTCCTAGGCTTTAGGGTTTTGGGTTGAGGACCCTGAACCCTAAACCCTAAACCTAAACTCGAAGCTTAAAAACCGTAAAAGCCCTAAACTCTAAGAGTCCTAATACAGTGCTGAAGCTTGGTGGTACAACGACCGGGCTTGCACAAAGAGGGGTCTGAGCTTCGAGCTCCTGCTCAGGCAAAAGCGAAGCACCTCCCAACTTCAGGGGGCACGTCTTCCCGCAGATTCCGGTTCCCGTGAGTTCCCGATGTCTGTGCGGATACTAATAACCCTACTTGGAGGTTCATGGGTAGTTATATAAGTAAGGTAACTATAATTATAACCCATATTAGGGGACTTACAAACCCACTTATAACTAATGCAGGGGCCTCAATAAGTGTTTTTTTTTTTTTTGAGGGGGGGTCCTTTTTATTTAAATATAGTATAATAGACCCACAATCCCTATTCTAATTATTAAGGCCTCTACATTACCCATGAACCTCCAAGCAGGCCCTACACCCCATTCGATCATCGAACCTAAAAAAGGGGGTTTGGGGTTTAGGGTTTAGGGCCCTACCTACATTCTTGACTGCGACCCCTGAACCCCAGAACCACCGGAAAAAAAACAAGAAAAAAAACTGCAGGACATTTGCCATATGACATATGGACATATGGTGTTGGATATATCATATTATACTTATATGTTAACGATACTAGATACTCGGCTATGTCCTAGTAAATATACATATATATATATAAGGAATGTGTCTGGCGAGATGGTGGAACCAGTGGACTTCTCACAGTCCAGCGCCATCTACCGCTCAGATGTCAGGATCCTTCTCTCCCTCGTGTCTCTCGGCAACTGATTATAGCAATAAAGGTCATAACAATAATACAGGCAAACATGTTCATCATAGTTCTAGCGGTGATAATAGTCCAATAAGAGTCATGGTAGCAATAATGGTAGCAGTAGTAGTAGTAGTAGTAGTAGTAGTAGTAGCAGTAGCAGTAGTGATGGTAGTGGTAGTGGTAGTGGTAGTAGTAGTAGTAGTAGTAGTAGTAGCAGCAGCAGCAGGAGCAGGAGTAGCAGCAGCAGGAGTAGTAGTAGTAGTAGTAGTAGCAGCAGCAGCAGGAGGAGTAGTAGGAGTCGCAGCAGCAGGAGTAGCAGCAGCAGGAGTAGCAGCAGCAGGAGTAGTAGTAGTAGTAGTAGTAGTAGCAGCAGTAGTAGTAGAAGTAGAAGTAGCAGCAGCAGCAGCAGCAGCAGCAGCAGCAGCAGCAGCAGCAGCAGCAGTAGCAGTAGCAGTA